GAGAGCTAGAGTTATATTCTGGAAGTATTTTTTCTCAGTCTAACACACCTAAAGGGACCAGGAGCAGGAGGGAAAGGCCAGGGAAGGGGAGAAGATCAGATCACACTCTTCCCTTCCTTACTGTGGATGTCCAAGCCAGAGATAGGCAGACCCAAGCTGGGCTAGGGAGGAGTTTTGAAGTAGATGTGAGACTGCAGTTTTAAATTCAAGAACTGGACTGGATGGAGTTTTAACATCTAAAAGAGAGTCTAAATTATTGAGAAGATGCTTGTTCTTATAATCAATAACCCAAAAGCTATTCAATCTGCCATGCAACCATCAGGGGTCAGGGAAGGAAGTGAGCCACAGACAAACTTGGAACAAAGCAAAGCTATTTTTTGTTTATGCTTCATTGAGTTCTATCTGCCAGTTCTCCTTTGTGGGGCTCCTCTGGGCATCTCTAAGAATCAGGGTGTAACAGTGTGCAGTGAGTTGGCCAGAAGCTTCCAACACAATAACAGAGCGACAGAGGGACTCCTCAGTTACCTGCAGGGCCAAAGCAGCCTGTGAGTGGAGGTGGTAGGAGGTTAGCTAGAGAGTGCATCTCTCAGTTAATGTGGACAGAGATCCACAGTGGCTCCCCCAAAACCTATGACAGGACCCCTGGCCCCAGCATTTGGGTGACAGTCATAGCAGAAGGCATTGATAGCTAGGAGAAGCCCCCAGTGAGCACCAGTTGGTCGAATGACTCTTGCCTTTCCTCCTCCACTGTCTCCCACCCCCAACCCTGGAGGAGCCAGAAAAGGAAGGAGAAAAAGCCGACCCTACCCCTCTTTCCCAGAGCAAATTCTAAGCCACAAGGAGGAAGAAGCCCTGACTTAGATGTGAGATTGAAGTTTTAAATTGGACTGAACTGCACTTTTTAATAGCTGAGAATGAGCTGTAATTATTCAACCAAGACTGATGTGATGGGTGAACATGGCCAGATGCTGTGGGATTTCCTCTGAAGACATCATCATCAGAACAGGAAGAGTTGGACAGAGAACTCTGAAGGCGATTTTTCAAAGTAAGTAAAAATACAGCTAGTTTCCACATGTACCTCAATAAGTTCGTTCCTACTCAGTAAATGGGCTAAAGGAAAATGGATACAACACCAGTTTCATAGAGTTATTATCATGAAGGTTAAATGAGTTCACATACCTAAAAATGATTCACATCGTCCCTGACAAGTAATGTAAATATAAATCATACAACATGTAACAAATATCTGAGGGCTTATTCTGTGCCAGGCATTGTTCCGGGTGTAGGGGATGCATAATGAACAAAAAAGTCCTCATAGAGCTTTCATTCTAGAGGAGACAGACAAAACAAAATCATTATGTATATATAATGCTTCTCTATACTCACATGGTAGGTGTAGATATAGATATAGATACAGATATTTGGCAAGCCTAGAATAGCAGTAGGGAAAGTTAGCTATATATCTGTAGAGAGAGAGAAAACTATACTGTATAAATGTATAAATATATCTATTTCAAGTCATGATAAATGCTATAAAGAAAAATAAAGCACGGTAAGGAAATACAGGAGGTAAGATGGAATGAGGCCCTCATTTAGAGAATGATGATTTTTTTGATGGGCAGAGCACTTTATAGTTTCAAAAAACACCCTCATAAGCACTGTCTCATTTTATCCCTAGTTTCATGAGGGATTATTCCTGTCTAAAGATAAGGAAATGCGAGCTCAGAAAAGTTCAATGACTCCAAGTCGGGTGACTTTTTATTACCCTTAACAGAGAAAGCAGGTACAAGACCAGTTCAGCTAGAAGCTTTCACATTCTCTACACTCCCTAAATTAATTCTGGGACCCAAAGTCAATACAGCGTTACCGGAAGTTGGTGCTTATGGGGCTTGGCCAGAGACTTGGAAAGAGGATTTATATTTCAGATCTTACTTGCAGAGAAGCAATGGCTGCCACCCACTTTATGAAGAATGGTATCCCAACCAGGTCACCCTGGGGAACAGCTTCAGCATTGATGTCTGTGTTGCCTCAGCCCACTTGCAAGCTAGGTAGAGACTACTACTGATATATTTGTTCTCCAAAAGCTAAGCTGAAATATTAAACCTCGCCTGCTCTAAGTTAAAAGTTCATCAATGAATCATAAGTTTGGATGGATCTGCTCAAAGGAAGACTGTCCACGATTTCACCTCAAAGTTTCACAGAACAACTAGTCCCTTTCTCTCAAGGAGATGACAGCTGCAGCATGCTGGAGTCCTCAGGAAAGGCAAATGTGTCTGGGATTTCAATCCAGCAAGCTCAGTGTGGAAACCCTTAGCAGGCAGCTCCTGTCCTCTGTGGCTGGAAGGATAGCCCCAATTCCCAGTCCATTTGAAATTGATGGCAAGGCAGCTGCACAGAGCATTTGCATTTGTGCTCTTAATGCCATTTGAGTATTTCCTTGTTTTCAGGCTGAAGATAAGATGGAGTTTAGATTTTTTTTTTTTTTAATGACTATTTTGGAAGCAGCTGGCAGTATAATTCTTAGGGAGAAAATATATTGTTCGGAAAAATAGTTTGAAAAGCTATTTGGGGTAAGTGAGATACCTCTGCAGGCATAGATGTCAGCAGAAACCAAAGATTGCAGAAGAGAGACATTTGGTGGGGGGTGTCTCAAGGAGGAGGGGGAGAGGAGAATGAGGAGAAGGGAGATGGAAGAGGAGAAAAGGGAGACAGCAGGGTGGAGAAGGGCTGGGACTAGTTTTGGGAACCAGCAGGGGCGGGACCAGTAAGCCCCCACTGTGGTGAAGAGACTGAAGAGCATTTTGAAGTGGGGTATGTCTGTTCCGTAGGACCCTGTTTGGGATGTAAACCCTGTTTGGGATGTAAACCTCTCCTACAAATCTCACTCTACTGGGATCACAGAGGCTTCCTGTGGGCTGTCTTGTGAAAAGCAAAGGGGGTGCTGAGTTTCCTCCTTGACTCACTGCAGTATAACACAGGACTGTCTGATAGGACTTTCTGTGATGCTGGGAACGTTCCATTCTGCACTGCCCAATATGGTAGCTTCTAGTCACATGTGGCTCTTGAGTATTTGAAATGTGGTTAATACAACTGCTAGTGAACTGAAGTTTTTATTTTGTTTAACTTTAAGTTAAACAGCCACACATGGCTAATGACCAGAAGGAAGAGTCCCAAGTCAAGGTGACCCTGAGAATGCAAATGCTTTGAGATTTGCTGAAGTCTTGGGGCAGGCTTGAGACTTAAACTGAAAATGGGACTGGGGTGCTGGGGTGAAGGCGTGAGCTTAAACTGATTTTACCCAGATCAGGAGGTCAAGAAAACCACAAGCTAATAGGGTTACAAAAGTAGTTGAGAAAAAGAGAATAGAGGCTTCTTATGCAGGCAAATCCAAGTTTCTAAAAGTGGTGAGGGTTCTTGTTTGTTTTGCAGAATATAAGCTAACAAATATCTATTTATGTCTATGCACAGACATCTCACGCAGAATTCATAACAGCAACAGTTGTAATAGCACATGGTAGGTGCTTGATAAATGTCTGAGTTACTGGATGACTGAGTAAACAGTACCTTCCATCATCCACCGACATCATCTCAGTTGACTCTTGCAACATCCCCCTGAGGAAGCTGGGGCAGCTGAGGATTCCTGGTCTTTTGGTTCACCTAACCTGTCCCCCAGCCTGTACATAAGAGGCCTCATTTGGGCTCTCCACTGTGGCCTCTGCGAGGGGGTTTGTAGGTGCCACTGAATATTCCAGGACCGCAAACACCTGACCAAGCTCTGGTAGCATACACATCCACAGTGTGTGCTCTCCCTTCTCCCAACTGCTGAGGGGCACCTCCATAGCAGAGCCATACCGAGTTCCTTTCTGGGTCCCCACTGCCACTACTTAACACAGGGCCTGCCACACAGCCAGTCTCTACCAATACTGAAGGACTGAAGAAATGAATGAAATAAATAGTCAAAGGTGGTTTCTCCATTGACTTTTAAAAAACATCCCTTTCACTTTGGAGAAATTGTGTTAATCAACACAAAAACATTTTTTCCTCCCCAAGTCATCATAGAGCATCCTCCCAATTTATTGAATGGAGCCATTTCTCAGCCACTCCGTTTTTGGGCTCTCCAGGGTGGTTGGCCCAGCCCTAACACTGCTCTTTGTTTTTTCCTACTGATGATTTATCTATTGGGGATCTGAAAAGGGAATTCCTGAAACTCATACACTGACCTCTTTCTGCCATTTCAGCCCTTCGTATTCCTGCACTCAGAAAACTGATAAAGAATCGTGGTACAGAACAAGCCTATTTTTGTTAGCAGATGCAGGAAAAATTACACGTAGAAAAATGAAGCTAACAAAAGGAGGAAGGGTTTAGGTGTATTGACTCAAATTGGGTGTTTTTTTGGTGTAAAATACAGATTTTTAGCCATCGAATAAATAAATGATCAGTCTTAAAGAATGTCCCAACAGCTTTCCTTGGCCTATTAAATGGGAATGATCAGTGCTAACAATTTTTTGTAGACATGGCTCTAAATGTGGATTGTATTTTTATTATAAGGTGGAAAGAGAACAGTTAGGACTGTGGTGATAATGCAAATAGTACCCCTCCTTGCAGAGGACTCCCACACCTCCAATCTAAGGATACAGGGCCATTTCCAGTTTCTCCAAGCATCTACATGACTAAGCCAAGAAGGTTGCCTGTCCCAGGTTGATTGACATCCGTGTAACACACTTTTGAGTTCCATATTTGCCCCTCAGAGAAAATAAGTTGCTTTGTGAAAATTAAGTACTGAGGAAATTCAAGTTAGACATACCCTTCTTACTTTACAATGTTTTTGAATTGTTTGAAATTTTGATAGCAAAGTATTACAGTGAAGTTGAAGTTGTCAAAGTACCAAAGTAAGTACTTTGGTAACTTAAAAAAAAAATAGCTAAAATGCTTTAAAACCGTGTATAAATGACTTAAAGTTGGGGTAGTGGGGAGGACAAGCCTAATGAGGTCGGACTCACCTTTCCAAAGCTGGCAGCATTGACAGGTTGGGTATCATTCTTCTCGCAGAAATCCAGGTAATGCATATAGAGGGCACTGCGAGGGATGCAGACACCCTCTGCAATCTCATAGTTCTCCTCCAGCCTAGGGAAATAAACGCCCAATGAGCAAAAACTGTGTTACCTTCCCCAAGCAAGAACGGTCTGTTCTTTCTAGTCCTCCAGAGATGGGCAGACCTTAAAAATAGCGTTCTTTCTACAGGTGGAGAAGCTGGGGCCCAGGAAGGCAAAGCAAGCTACCCAAGGTCAAGCCTGGCATGAGTGGCTTGGCAGTGTCAGAATCCTGGCCCCTTTGGGTATAACACGAGGCTACTTGTTCAGCCCAAATTCACAGATCCTCTACTCTGTACTGTTATTGGCCTGGCCTTGTTCTGGCTAGACCAGATACCTGCAAACTCCAAAAACTACATAGGGTCTTGTGGGTGCCCCAATCAGCCAGGAATGAATCACAGACCCACTTAAGGAGCCACTTGTAATAGCTAAAAGCCAAAGAAGGATGTGTCAACATCTTGGAGCTCCTTGGCTGACAAACGCAATGGAGGGGGATTGTCTGGAAAACCAATGCCCTGAGAGAGGCCTATACAGCTGTACAGCCACTAATCTGCTGACTGAAGGGAGGTCTCATGACCAGAGAAGGAAGTTGGCTCCGTGATTACTTTAGAATCCTCTTCTTCTCTGCTGTGCTAGGGGTAATGATTCTATACCCATTACCTTCTTACTGAGTCTCTGTTAGGAATTCTATAGGAGAGATTTTCTACAACTGGGTTTACATCCCAGCCTTGTCACTTGCTGGCTTGGTGACGTTGGGCAAGTTACTTAATGAAGCTCAGGCCTCAGTTTCCTTTTGGAGGGACTGAATTGTAAGTGCCTTCTAAAGTGGTTATAATGATTAGATGAGGTAATGTGTGACAAGCATCCGCATCGTGTCTGGCACGTGCATGGGAAGCACTGAGAAGACGTCAGACCTCCTCATAATTCATTCTTCCTCTCCAGAAAACATTTTTGGGCACGATATGTCCTGACTCTGTGCTAGATATTGGGGATATAAACAAATATTAGATACAGGGTTTAAATAATTTATTATTCTTTAACCCAAACACCAGAATGTAGGCATCCAAATGTATCTTGCCTCCATTGTCCTAGGCACTCTGGAAGTTAAATACCTTTCCCAAGAAAACTGCTGTGGCACAAGGCAATTTGGGAACTTCTCTTAGGGTCATGCCTTCAAAGCCTGGGGCACCTACTGCTAAATCAACTCACCAACAGAAATATTTCTCCTTTGATCATTAACTAGATTTTAGGAAACAACCCAAAGTGATTTGGAAGCAAGTTTGGGGGATAAAGTAACTGGAAACCCATCCCCCAGCCCCAATTTTTTGGGTCAAAAATAAGGCGTAATTCCAAAGTGATGAAACAAATGTCCTCAAGTGGCTTCAAACCTCCCTCTGAGAGCATTTGCCAAAGAAGTGGCCCAGCACTGTCGTAAGTGAAGTGGAATGAGGACACGGCCCCCCAAGGTGCCCACTTGAAAGTGCAGCGCTTGTTCAACTCATTCCAACATGTGATTGCAAGAACATCAGTTCAATCATTTCATATCCAAACCCCGCAGAGGGGGATCACAACCCTAGGGACACAGACCTGTCAGCACCAAGACAAAACCTGGTGCCGAACAGTCCCCGATCATCTCATCCACTCCCCGTCTTCTGGGATGGGGAACACTGAGTCACTTGGAATGGTTGTTAGAAATGTTCCCAGAAATAGTTGATGTAATCCTTTCTAGGTGATCAAATTCCTTGAGGCTGGGATAGTGTCTGAGTCACTTCTGCATCCTTGAGATACAGCATACTCCTTGGCACACAGTAGGTGGTCAGTAAGTGTCTTATGGATAGATTATTTCAGTCATTTATTCATTCAACAAATATTTATTGATCTTATCACCTGCCAGGCACTGGGGATATCACAGTGAGCAAGATAGTTCATGTTTGCATACAGTGAACAGATTAATGGTAGACAGATGGACAAAGACATAGATAACCTTTAACTCAACAAGTATTTACTAAGTGCCAGGCGATGTTCTAGACATTAAGGAAACAGTGGTGAACAAAACAATGGTCCTGTCCTGAACAGGCTTACATTCTGATGTATGTCTTTGACATCATAAATTGGAATTCTAAGTGTGTTTTCCGGTGGGAAAAGGGTTTCACATAAAGAACAGGTTTCTTAGGACTATCCTAAGCTTCAGGTCCAGTATGAATGAAAATCAGCCTGGGAGGTTAGCCTGGACCCCTAACTGCCATTCACGGCATTGTTTCTCTATAAAAGTGAGTTCAGAGGTCCAAATAACCAGCTCGCGTACAAACTTGTAGGGGCCATCTGAATAAGACAGCTTTCTCAAACTGGGGTCTCACAGACATGCTTTGTTTTGGCCTGAACAGTGTTGGCCCAATTTTTAAAATTCAGGACATTGCACATAAGAATCTGGATTTCTGGCTTCTTTTGAAAAAGCTGAGATCTGGCAACACTGGACCCATATTCCCGCACGACAACAATTGGCCAGAGCTACATGTGCCCTGGAGTTGGCCAGAGTCCTCACTCCTCCCTATTTCTTTGTACCCTGTCTATTTTCTGTTCCTTGTCTGGCTCCTGTAGGCACTTGTATTGGCATAAGACATGATCTATGTCCTAGTTAACTTTGCAGTCTATTTGGGGAGAAGCATGCATAAGAAATAATATTTAATTACTATAAACTCATGACCATAGGTGTAGTTGAAGGTGGGAAAACAGAGAGATTGATGTGTAGATGAGAGTAGATAATTAAAGTTTCATGGAAGAATTGGGTTTGGAATTGTGTAACAACAAACAACAACAACAGCTAGCATCTGTTGAGCTCTTACTAGGTGCTGGGCCCTGGGTATCCATGGTCTCATTTGATCTCACAATAACTGTATGGTATGAGGTAGGTATTTATACATATGTTTCAGGATAGGAGTCTGAGGCTCAGAGGGTGTAACTCATTTGCCCAGTCATGCAGCTAGTAAGTAGGAGGGTTTGTCTCAGTCCAAACCTCTCTGGTATTCTGCCATGGTAGTTGGGGGAGGGAGGGAGGTTCCAGGCAAGCAGAACAGCGAGGATGGGAGACAGTGCCATGTGTTTTGAATGATGGAGATGCCGATCCAAGTGGAGAGAGAAGGAAGGGGTATTTAAAGGGAAGAACCATGGGAGGTGGAGGGAGTCTTTAAATGCCACACAAATGGATATTATTTGGCTTAAGAATTTAGCACTCCCTTGGAGTTGAAGAGTTACTATAAAAATGTTATTTTCAGAAGAAGGCAGTAGAGTTGTACTCAGGAGGACTGAAAGAAACAAAGACTCAGAGGAGTCAGGAAGACCTGAGTTCTCCCAGGATGCTATAGGAATAATAATAATGATAATGATAATAGTATCATCAATAACAACAATAACTGACATTAATTTAAACAAATTTAATTTAATAATAGTTTAATAATTTAAACAATAATTTAAAGCTTAATATGTTCTATTTGCCAGGAATGGCTTGAGTATAATAAAAGAATGTCAAACAACAAAAACAACAACGAAACACCTGTCTCATAGGTGTCATCTTAGACTTTTTTTTTCTTTTGAGACAGAGTCTCACTCTGTCACCCAGGCTGGAGTGAAGTGGTGCCATCTTGGCTCACTGCAACCTCCGCCTCCCGGGTTCAAGCAATTCTCCTGCCTCAGTCTCCTGAGTAGCTGGGATTACAGGTACCCACCACTATACCTGGCTAATTTTTGTATTTTTAGTAAAGATGAGGTTTCTCCATGTTGGCCAGGCTGGTCTCGAACTCCTGACCTCAAATGATCCTCCCGCCTTAGCCTCCCAAAGTGCTGGGATTACAGGCATGAGCCACCGTGCCTAGCCATCTCTAACTTTTGAGAGTTCCATTAAGCAGTTTTTAAAAGAGATTTGACTTCAACACTTGTAGTGGAACATTTTCCATTCTCATGCATACGTAAGAACAATTTGGGCAACTGCAATTTTGTGTATGACAAGTTGTGGGGAAGATAAAAGTATCCCTTTTTGCTTATTTTTGCTAATGGCTTCCTAGAATTTTTTTTGGCTAAAAAAAAAATCCATGAACATACTAAACAAATGTGCATTTCAAACCATTCAGAATTCATCTTGCATATGATTATTTAAATTGATAGAAATCCTTTAAAACCAATTAGATTCTTTTTTAAGCATGGGAGTGGCATGCTCAATGCATTCTTTGGAAAGTTTGCTCTTCGCCTCAAGGGGAGGTGGCCCAGGAGGACCATCAAAGCCTAGCACGTAGTGGCTGATTAATTAGGACTTGTTGAATGAATGAATGAACACAGGAGACCAATTAGGAGCTACTATAATAGTTCTGGCAGGAAATGATGTGGCATGAACTGAAGCAGTGGTTGTGGGGGCAGAGATAACACTTAGGGTGTGGGCCTCATGCTGCCAGATGTGAGGAGGACAGGAGCAACCAGGCAAACTCTCAGGTTCCTAACTGGGCAGAATGCATGAATGGAGGGCTCCATTCCCCATGATCAGAAGTGCAGAAGGAGAGGACAGTTAAGGGTGAAAATCATGCTTTCAAATGCGGCGTCAAACAGCATGCGTTTCCAAGGACATTCCTGGCACCTTCACTCATTAGTTACTTTATTTAAGCTCCCTGTGCCTCAGTTTCCGTTTGTTGTTCTTGTGACTTGTGTGCTCACTAAATCTGGCCAAGAGGTCAAGATTAAAATACAAGATCATGGTTAAGAAACATCACATCAAATGAACCCATAGCAGCAACAAACTATTCAAATCAGATAGGTGTAAGTCATGGTTCACACAGGCTGAGCTAATTAAACAGTTACCTGTCAAAGGCCAGAGTCTCCTAAATAAGTATATTTCAGCCCACGTTTTGTTCCTCTTTCCGGAGCTTCTGAGCCTCAAAGTAACTAGGTGGCTTATAACTACCAAGCATTTTAATAAGCTCTATGAATAAATGGATGTAATTGGCACGGAAGGGCCCCTTTGATGCTTGATGAGTTTCTACAGGAATAGCA